TAAAAAGTGTGACCTTGGGATATTCATGCGTCACCATGGACAGCCTCATTTGGTAGAGAAGTGCAATGTTCAGGAATGAGAGTCAAAGAGAGAGCTAATACAATGAATTATGGTCAGCCAGACTGCCAAATTACAGTCAAAAGCCTGAATAGCAAAATGCCTTGACTTGAGATAATGTGCTCATTAGGCAGCTACTGGTGACTGTCTTACCATTACCATGGACACTGAGCATTATTTACTATGCACTCTATGAGTCTATGTGATCAACAGCCTCCTTGAGCTATGGCCTGTATGATGTGACCTGAATCAGCAATCCATACATATTACACTGTATCTCACTGCTCCAGCAATGATGTCTTACCTTCACAATCAAAATATACAGTGTAAGAGCAAATATGCAGACGGTAGGAGCCAATCTGAAGCTTACTAACACTAAGTAACAATTAGCAGTTCAAAGCACACAATTTAGAAAAAAACAACTTAACTATTTGTAGCTTGGGCCATCGATTCTGTCCGTAACAATAATAATGTGTTCTCTAAAGAAATTGCTGAAATCTCCAAAAAAGATAAAATAGCAAATTAGGTCCAACTGGGCAACAACATTCAGCACCACAGAGGCTGTAAATAAACCCCCCAGTAAGTCACCTTAATTAAAAATGAATGAAAGTAAAAATGATGACCCTTTACAGTTTGCAGACCAATCTAACTTAATCTACTGTCGACGTTTGCACAGTTACTCTGGACAATGAGGGATAATTAGCAACATTTCTGATGTAATCACTTTTAACTTTACCTCCAAAAAAGATGGAAACTAATCTGGCAAAACTGATGGTTTACAGAATTTACAAAATGAATGACAATCTGTCTGCTTGTACTTGTTGCTCTGTTGGACATAGTAATAGCCAAATCAAAGAGTTATAGCTGACAAAAATGCCATAAACCATGGAACAAATGGCCAGAGTTACACAAATAAAAGTTGTAATAAACCATAAGCTACATGGTTTTAACACTCATACCATGATGATAATGTATTGAATAGTGGGTATTAATGTCTTCAGCCTAAGCAATTGTGCAGTCATGTTGCGGAACAATGATCTGTTGTAGAATGAGACTGGACTTTAACATATTCTAGCCTCAATTTCTGTATCAAGTAAAATTGAACAGAATCTGATAGAATGTCACAGAATGGGTCCTGCCAAAACTAAAGTGATGATGATGATGATCCATGCATGAAAATGACCCAACATCCAATACCATAATAACACACTGGCACACACACCACGCACACTAATATGAATTCATTAGGAAAAAGACAGCAATGATTTGAGGCCTAATGGGCGTGTGTGACGATGCGTTTAAGGGTGGACGTGTGTGAGCAGTCAGGCATGGTTCAGACTTGAGCGGAATAATTATCTGTTTCATACTGATGAATCAAATGACTGACACATACAGAAACACACACATATAGACATAAACACAGGTCCTTTTTTCTTCTGCGTGGACACATTTTCCTGACAACATATTTTTCACAACCTCTGGCAGTTAGCAATTAAGTTGGCAGAAAGAAAACAGTCGATATCCATAAAATCACACACAACCATGTGCGTGTTTGCAAACTAACAAAATAATAACACAGGCACAAATAGAAGCACACTCGTGGCTTTTTCTGACAGGCTGTCAGACCGTTACAAACCATATTGATTGTGCTGCTTTTATTCAGAACTTAATCACAGAATGACAACAGACACACAAGCAGCCAGCGTTACTTATTGGCTTTTGAAACTTGTGTAAACGTACACAAAGAAGGAAAGAAAAGGCCCCCACACTTCAATAAAAACATTCGTCTCTGTCTCAATTTTGTATAACATGTTATTGATGAAAGAAGTCATCTGGAATAATAGTCAGTCAGAGGCTGAGTGAGAGAGAGAGAGGTAATAAAGAACGGGAGGAGAGGAGACAAAGAGCCGAAGATGAATCCGAGAAAAAAGAAAGGTAAAGAAATATAACTGTTATTCATCTTATTTACTTTGTTTAAATATCATGTTCACTCCCCGAACCTTTAGCACTTTCTCTCTAACTAGCCACAAAAAACAAAGACACATTTTTATCTGGAACTTACACTTAAGGTTCCGAGTGATGTGTTTAATAATTTGTCTCATTCCCTGTATACACAAATTAAATTATGATTAAAGACTGATGATCCAGCAGGTATACATATGTCTTTAAATTAAGGACGATGTGCTTGTAAAGGAGATAAACAAAACCAAGTTGAAGTTAGGTCATGTGTCTGCACAAGGAGATGATTGCTGATAAAAAATATAAAACTATAGCCGGTCATGCTAAGGAGACTTGAGCTCGCAAATACCAATAAAGTAATGTTAAACTCAGGAATATCCTACAGTGACATGTAGGGGTTACTAAAAAGGCAGAGCCTTAGTGGACGTAGATGTATTAATGCATGTATATGCGGACGGTGCACATTTATCTTAAAAATAGAGCCTGAGTCAGAGCGGGGGAAATATCAGTAAGTTAACACTATAAAGTTATATTCAATGGTGTCAATCAATTCATCGTTTTCCGGACTGAGATGATTAAGTGGTGGGATCTAATAGGCTGTAGCCTACATTACATTTTCATTTGCATTTCAGCGTTCATTTTCAATAAAAATAAATCATTTTGTGCAAATCAATGTTTTTGGTTGTCGTCTTCTCAGTAAAGAGAGCAATACCAACTTGTTTGTATATCTTGTTTGAAATCCCCACTGTGCATAACCGACCGTGGGTACCGTGCTTACGCTCAGTGTTGAAAGCCACGCAGAAAGACAGATTGAAATGTGTAGTGTGAGTTAACTCAACGCGGAAAAAATCAATAAACCGCCCCGTGTCTGCCTGATCAAGAACAGGCAGATTAGGAGCACACATGTGTAGCATCATGCCATGCTGGATCATTCCACTAAGTGGTGGAATGAGGAGGATTATACATTGTGCAGTCAAGTTTTCTATTAAGAGGGGGAAACTAGAAAAGCTAAACAAGTATTCAGCACATGAGTATATATATTGTATACAGTGCACTGATGTCTTAGTATAGTAGACAGACTGGACTTTATTATTATTTATCATTACTGTGTCATTAATTTAGAATGTATTCTATTGTTTCCTATTCTATTCTACTCCAGTCTAGTCTATTACTGTCTTTATCTGTCTTTGTTTGCCTTTGTCCTTGTCTCTCCCTCTGTGTACGTAGATAGTGACATTCTGCAAATGCCAGCAGCTGTAGTAGCTGATAATCTGTCATTATAGCACATTCTTAAAGTGCTCTCAAACCTCAAGCAGGCGAGCACGCACACACACACACACACACACACACACACAGGCAGTACACACAACAGATGGAAGACATTCGTCTGTTATAAGCTAAGTCTACTTGAATCTATTATACTCCACTGTTTTGGATTCTATTTTAAATACCAAGCAACACACACACACGACACAAAGATGGCTTGTCATCTGACACCAAGCATAATCACCAATAATATGTGGCACATGTGTCATTATGAGACTTTTTTTGGACTGTAAGAGACTTGAATAAGGCCAGGTGACAATGGCTGCAAAGTGCTGTCGAAATAAAAAGATTAGATTAAAGTCTCATGGATAAGTAAATGAGATCTGCACAGGCTTACAGTAACACTTGGGTACAATCTTTGTCATACAGTAATTATTTGATGTCATGTCTCTCTATCAAGGTCAGAGAGACAGAGGTGAGAATAAAAAGTCCATCTCTCTCTCTCCTCTGTCTTTCTTTACTCAAATACATCTCACCATTTCTCCATCCTACTCCTTCAGAGGCTCAGAAGTGAGTCGACTCCATTTACATCCACCTTTAGAGAAAACTTCAAGGCCACATGTCAAGTGCCTGCTTGGACATTCAGTCTCTTTCCTTTTCTCTCTTCCGGGATTCACTTTTGCAAAGTAAAGTTGCAAGCTGAACATTCAGCCCGGTTTTTCTCCTCTATACTTTCCCTCTCTCTTCTCCTCTGTAGTTTTCAATGAGCTCAGTGCCATCTTGATCTATTTTTGCTCTTCCCTCTCACCATCTTCAAACTTAACATTTTAGACAAATCAAAGTGAAAGGAGGAAAGAGGATGATACAGGGAGAAAGTAGATGAGAAAGTAGATGAGAGAGCAGAGTAGAGTAGATGAGGGAGAGAGGTGAGGAGAGAGAAGTAGAGAATAACAGAGATGTTAGCAGGAAATGAGAGGCAAGCAGAAGGAAAGAGCGGAGAGCTGAGGAGCTGGGAAAGTGGAGAAGACAGTGAAGACAGGTTATGTGATGACACATGAAAAGAAATAATACCACAAAAAGATTATGCTAGAGATACCTGAGATGTTGCACCGCAGGTATATGAATTATTCATTTCTATACATTGATGACTCAAAAACAAAGTTACCTTCACACAATTGGGGAGGTGTGAGCTCGGCAATATGAGCTGAATTCAGTCATCAAGCAGGAAAAACAAAAAGGAAGTCTAAAACCACAGCCATTCAACGTTCTCAACAATGGACCACAAAAGAGAATGTTTGTGGAAGTTGATTATAGTCTGTCTTACAACTTTTTACAGCAATTCATGCTCTGTTTTTGCCTCTCCTGTCACTCTCCTCATCACTATGTTATCTACTTAGCTATCTTCAATGACAACCAGTAAAAGCTTTTCAACTGGCGATGTTGAATATTATTGAGCAATGCAATTAAAGCAGTGGTTAACACAGACTGATCAGTATATGGCATACAACACCAAACTCGGTACTATTAGCCAAACAATGCTTACCAACACAAAAAAGTGAATTGTCTTAAGACCCCTATATTAGACCGTATAATGTGATGTAAGTAAATTTCAGGTGTCAAGGATTTATTTTCCTCATGTCAGATTCCAATGACATTTTTTGATGGAAATGCCAGGTGAAGTAAAGGCAGGGTGGATAAAATAATGAATATGAGCTCACCTTCCCAGACTCCATTGCAGTGATGACCCACACACAGTGTGCGTTGTTCTCATATTGAACTGGGTAGTTAGGAGAAGTTATGACCCCTTTGGGCCCCCTTAGATTGCTGCCACAGGTACGAGCTACAAAGGAAGAAAGCACAAGAGAGAGACAGAGCGACAGAGTTTTAAAAAAGATTTATGGGATAATCAAAGTTATGCCCTCAGATTGCAAATGTCCTCTTACCTTACAAAGAGAAACAACAGAGAGAGGATGTGGCAGTGGCAGAGCAATTAAGGTTCAATATAGCCAAAACTAAAACTGTGGGACATTAGTAAATCAAATATTTGAAAAATTCCCTGCAATAAAATCATTCACAGTCGATTTCGAAGTCTTCGTTTCACAGGTGTTTCACAGGTGTTTTCCACAAACACTGATTGCTAGTGAGATTAAACTGATGACTTACTTATTCTACTTCTCCACTTGGCTACTTACATCTAATCACAGCTTTTCTTCAATTTTCCAAATATTTTTACAGATCATCAGTAAAACACGGACGTGAAGCCTTTCATTCATTCACATCAGTGAGTCAGAGATAAAACACTTCTCTTTAGGCGTGGGGCTGTTACCATTTATGAAGTGCGTCGTCATTATCAAATGTGTTTTGTTATCATTAAGGTCATGTTTCCATTAATGCGTTACTCATCCCTCTCACTTATGATAGCGATACAAATTAAAATGTTTACTTCATTGTCTAAAACACTGAAAGTGAAGGTGAATACTGTACCTGATATACAGTATGCACACAAAAACTTGGGAAATTGTTCAATTCAATTTATTTTTGTATAGCCCAAAATCACAAATTACAAATTTGCCTCAGAGGGCTTTACAATCTGTACACGTATGACATCCTCTGTCCCGGAACCCTCACATCGGAACAGGAAAAACTCCCCCAAAAACCCCTTTAATGGGGAGAAAAGAGGGAGACACCTGTGGGAGAGCAACAGAGGAGGGATCCCTCTCCCAGGATGGATAGAAGTGCAATTATAGTAGGGTCAGTGGGGTGAATCAGAACATCAGTAGCGCTGCAAAATCTGTTATGACATCATGAGTGAAAGTGATAAACACCAGAACAACAAAAACAAGACAATGGTTGAAAAGTGTTACTTTCTATGTGCAATATTGGACGATGTAAAAATAAAAGAACCACATGCTGTATATTCATGCTGCAGTTTGAGGGAAGGAAAACAATGTATTCTAGAAAGTGGATCCAATTACCAAAAAGGGCATATCATTAGCTCCACAAATCTACTGTCTACCAGAGTGCAGCCTTTCAGAAACCTTTCGCACTGTTAACATACATAAATGCATAACTTGGTATAAGTACAAAACATACAGCCTTGTGCAATGGAGGGGAAAAAAGTACTTGGGGCTGTGGTCTGAAGACTTTTTCTTTCATTTGTTTTCCCTCCATCGACATTCATTTGTGTGTTGGACACTGAAAGACACTGTTTCCTCATGATGTTCAAATTCTGGAAGGTCACAATTATCCCCCCCAAAAATGAACAATAAACCAGAATCAAACATCATAGTTACCTCAAAAACTGGAGGCTTCTCTCTAGAAGATAATGTTCTAATAATATCCAAAAACATTACTCAATATTTTTATAATGACAATTTAGGGGAGCCTACATCTGTTTTGATGGCAAAGGCTAATCATAGGGGCTGGGGATCACCAAAGTCACTTGGATTTATAGTTGGGGGTCAAAGTACAGTATGTCTGTCCTGAATTGTATAACAAGTCATCCAACAGCTGTTAGGATATTTCACTATGGAAAAAAGGTCATTTATTTTTAGAAATGTTCCAGGTAAAAATGGATATTTTCAAAACATTTGCCCCAAACTCTGCTGCTTCAGTATACACCTTTGCTCCTAAAGAGCCTGCAGATCTCCATTATGAAAGCATTTTTCATAATATCCTTCCAAATGCTCTATTTCATCCATATCGATTGTGTCCTGTGTAATACTGCAAGTAATATATTTTGCTTTCAGTACCTCATAAAGTCATAAAGTGTTATTGCCTTAAAGAGATATTTGGCAAAAAAAAGGCAACGGTACCCTTAAAACCACTCTCTCTCTCTATTACAGTAATATTAAATAGTTTACTTGACATTTTCAGTCAGTTTTGGTCAACAAGCACTGTCACCATTGCAGAGGAAGTTTTATCTGGCCATATATTTGCCATTTATCTATCATAATTAGTTAGCTGGAGGCGATCACTGCCATTATAGGGAAGGAAGGGCAATGACATAGAGGAAATAACATTTAAGACAAGAAAGGACAGACAAATAATACTGAATAATAGTGAGGGTGAGGATTTAGAGAGAGATGGGTGGAAGTCTGCAAAGACACAACAGGCAGGTTGATAGACAAAGTGGAGAGACTTGAGTGGGAGAGGTTGAGACGGAAATAAAATAGAGAGGGTGAAAGATAATAATCTGGGAAAGGGAAAGAAAATAAATTGAAGGAGGAAGGGCAAAAGGCAAGGAAGATTCAGAGGCACTGAAAATACCAAGAGAGAGAGGGAGAGAGGAGGACCTCTGATGACTGATCTGCCTGTTAATTAGAAAAGAGAGCCGAAACACACTGTGATACACACAGGTACACGCACACACACGCACACGGACACACAGAAACACATTCATGGCGATTCATCCCAGAGACCAGCTTCTAATTAACATTAAAGTCTCAGTAGAGAATGAAAGAAGCTCATGGGTTTGAATCCCAGGAGAGTGATTACATCAGATAACACAATACACCAGAGCAGTCCAGCAATATTTAACCTCTGCCTGCCTGTTTGCATCCGACTGCCTCTTTTCCGCTCTTTCTTTTTCTCTTCCTTGCTCTCTCTTTTTTGCTCTTTGTGTTTATTCCTCACCATAATTACAGCAATTTATATGAAACATATCAAAACAGAAATCACTGTCTGAATACTGAATATATTGTTCTGAATGTACAGTTTCCAGCTGTCACTATATTGTGTTGTGTTGTGTCATACTGAAAATTCCCCTTTTGAATTCAGATTTCCCCTAAAAAGTACCCTTCGCTAGTTTTGAAAGTAAGAAAAACAAGTTGTTGTTTAAAAATACCATACATAGTTTCTGCATCTACGACTTCATTGAAGGAACATGAAATGTAATGCATACTGAGCGACTACATTCTATTCTTAACGTGGAACAGTTATTCTCCTTTCATTTCAGAAAGAAATGTACTGCACCAAAAATCAGTCATGGGTTCAAGGTCATCTGGCCAATAAAAAGGTATAATTATTGCATGAAAATATGAACAATAAAATGAAGCTTTCACCGAAGCTTTGCAAGCAAGCTAATTATGAAAATAATATCCACATGTCCTTCCATCTCTGTCAATGTCTCACTGCAGTCTTCCTCTCTACTGTCTCTTACTGACAAAAGTAGCCAATATCATGAACTCGGATTCCTGCAGTCACACACACACTTACACTATAATACAATGTGACAAGGACCCTATAGTGTGCGTCTGAGCACTGGGACTTCCTGTCCGTCAAACACACACAGCTCAAGGCAAATACTGCTGCAGCTATGACGTGTGTGTGTGGCATTGTCCTTTGGATACTTGCTGTCAATATAAGTGTGTGTGTGCTATCTGTCTGCCTTTTTATTGTTGGGCAATACACCCCACACGGTATTGTCAGTGAACATGTGGGCAGTGAGAGCCCCTGCATCATTGCTCTGCCACTCAAACTTGTATTTTTTATTTAGTCACTCAGCCAGTCAGTCAGAAAGTGAATCATGGATTTGAACACATCAACACAACAAAATGTAAATCACGTTGATATTTTTCATTGTGCTTCAATTATTGTAAACTTTTAGTGCCTCTGCATTAACAAATACCAGCAAAATAACATACCCAGATAAATATTCAGAAAATTCTGTCTAAACAGATATATTATTATATTTAATGCTTTACAAATGGGTATCTGGATTGTGCAGGCATCCATTTTTGTCATTTTCAGTGCACACAAGCTGAGGTAGCAGTTGCTAGGAGCTGTAAGAAAGATGCCCATTTAGGAGTTGTTATTTGTGTTACTGTGAACAACACATTAGAGCAATTTAAACGCTGAAAAAGTGGGAGATTTGAGCCGATGCAGAGGTCTGGAACCAGACAAAAGTAATGCAGCATTGAAAAGGGTATGCAAAATCTCAGTAGTTATACAATACAGTGAAACTAATCAGAGGCATTTACCATGAATTAAGTCAAATGTAGGTACTGTATCATGCTATATATACATAATATATTGGTTTAGTAGTGTTGTTGATTAGTTTTAGGGCTTTGCAGGGCCTGGCTCTCAGCTATGCTCTGAATCTTTTGACCTGAGCAGAGGATTCCTTGCCAGAGGAGCTGAAAAAGGAACCTTGTGACTGTTTCATTGTCCAGTTTAATGACTGAAGGTGAACAGGCTTTGGCCATATTTGTGGCTTTGGAACAACAGTCTGGGGATCTCAGGCAGCACTAAGTATCATAGTATAGGTTGGCCTTATTTTACCTTTTTATTATCATCAACAAATCCCCTGAAGAAACAAAAACTAACAATGGATTTATTGTACTAACACGTGTTGTCTGTGTGGCCACACTCTAATGTAGCTTACACATTCCTGCCATGGAACTCCACACTGTTATCCAAGAACTATAACAAGCACATTTGCTTTATTGTGAATATTAAAGTCTAGTTTCAGTGCTACATTTTTTACCATCATGTTTTTTTGTGGCGATTAAAGCCAGTCATAGGGGTTGGTGGTTAAACTCCTGGCTCCAGCTAATGCATGCTAAACTGTCCTTAAGCATAACACTGAATCCCAGATAAGTAGGTCAGAACCTTGCTTGACGGCTCTGCCACCATCAGTATGAGTATGTATGATAGTGTGTGCAAATGTACTATGTGAATATAGTCTTTGGATGTCTATGGAAAACTAAAAAACAGTTCCTATGATTTTGAATACTTCAGTAAATATCATAACATACTAGCAGTGAAAGAATGCTGAGATAGTTTCAATGCAATGTGAATATGAATACAAATCTGTTATTTGTCTTATTTCATGGATGTGTGATCAGTGCAATACATTTCAGGCAAAAATAGACTTGATGAACATTCATACCAAGCACCAGGATTCACTTTGCTCGACTTCATCTTTTGCTGTCGGTAGACATGAACTCATTGTATAAAACAACTTCAGCTCTAATGCATGGACAGCTAACAACTCACAACAGGTTTCAGAGGGAATGACAGGTGGAACTTACTTCTGCAGATGGGTCTGTGGTCACTCCAAGCAGCCAGTGTGTCAGTGACGCGTTGACAGGTGATACTTTTAGATCCTTGTAGTACATAGCTGTCATCACAACTGAACTGGACGCTGGATCCAATCCTATTTAAGGGGGCACAACAGCAAGAACACTTGTTAATAAAGTAACAACAGTATCGTTGATTCTAGTGCTCACTGCTTCATAACGGTGATGTTGTGGTAATGCAGAGACCTCTTACATTGCTGGTTATATCTTAAGAGAACTGGTAGGCAAGGTAATTGCAGACATTATGTATGAATGATGGCCATGATATTAATGAGACAGTGGCTTTTAGAAGCCAACCGTTCCCACAGATTGTCCAATTAGGACCTATACTTCCTCTCTTTCTGTAAGACCCTTTATTTCTTTTCCAGTGAAGCCTTTTTCTTGTTGTCTGCTTTCCTTTGCTCTCTTCTCCTTTCCTTTGCTCTCTTCTCCTTTCTTTTCTCCACTCCTCCCGCCTCCTCTCTCATCATTTGTTCTCATCATTCTTGTTTTCTCATTCCCTCCAACACCCCGCTGTCTAACCAGTGAGAGGGACATTCAGCCATTTGAGTGGATGTCTGCATGGTATCTTGTCTTTAAAGCTTAATGTCTCCTTCCCGCTGATACACACCACAGTCTAACACCTGGCCAAACATTCGCTACATAGGGTTCTGGTTGTTCAGTGGCTCCACCCTGTTGTTTAACACTGTAGAGTCGTACTGCCTGGCCAAATCTCTCTTTCTGTGCCTTTGTCACAGAGAGTTGGGTCATTCACTTTACAGCTTCTGCTACTTCGGCGCTGCTGATGACACTGAAAATACCTCTCATCCAGCCGCTCACTGTGAAATTTACAATTACATGAAAGAAAACTGTGTTGTTATTGCTATTTCCTTGAAAAGGACTAAAACCTTCTGCACAGTTGTGTATGTGGTTGTCTGTGAATCAAAGCTGCCGTGACACACTAAGTGACTGTCATCTCGCATGTCTTGAGTTCTCTTTGCAGGTTTGCTCTCTTTCCATTTCTCCTGTTTTACCTCATTACACCACAATTCTGTTCCAGCTCCTGCATCTCATTGCTTAATGATGATTAGATACAAACCTGTAACACACGGCAAACACATCCATGCCCACATGCATGCACACTTACACGTATACTCACTCACAGATAAACACACAAACATGCACACACACACACACAGAGGTAATGACCTTTCACTAACTCAGACAGCTCCGCTAATAGTCCTACCGAGTTTGTGCAGTCAAAGTTGCTAATGGTAAAGAAGAGCACCAGGAGCTGGAGATTAAAAGATGATTATCGTTTAAAAGTTGTTTGGACTGAAAATAGTCCCAGAATTAGGTAAAAAAAAAAAAGGGATGCCTGTCTTGATTCCCTCATAATCGCCAAAGAAACTTAAGAGCAATTTAGCTGCCACTGATGCTAAGAGGATGAGTCATGGGGAGAAGTGATCATTATAGTTGCTCACTCCTGATTAAATAAAGTGATGTGTCTTCCTTTCTTCAGATAAGACGGCAGACACCATGGAGTGAATAATTTAAAGATCTCTGTGACCACCAAGTCCTTGTCTTAGCAGAGGTTCCTACTTCCGAAACATTCCTTCACATTCTCTGTGTACACCCCCTATATGAGTAAGGACCCTTATAAACCTGGAAGGTGATTAGTAAAGTACATTGATAAATATGTATGGTTAACCGTGTGCCTCTGTACAGAAGAGCAACTAATGATGATAAAAATGCAGAAACAAGGACACCCGGAGAACAACGCAAAAGAGGCTAAACATATGATGGCTAATGTCAGACCGGCTGTTCTGGACAGACAGTTACAGGTGAAGGTGTTCTAAAAGAAAAACCGCATCACCTGCAGGTGGTTTTGTCTTTTTTTAGTGTTTGTTTTTGTATATCTGTATTTGCAGGTGGAAACTGTAGCAGCTAGTAATTTGCTTTCCTATAAGTGAAACAGGTTGGCGGAGTCTGACGAGCACTGCACAGCTTCCCCCTTGAGGAGGATCTAGAAGACTGCGAATGTGAATATGTGAGTTTTTCAAGTTTATTACAAGCCAGTAAAATAAGCTGATTCACATCTAAAAAGCCTGAGCTGTAACAACAGGTCCCCAACAGACAGAAATTATTCATGATGATACATGAACACTTCAGCAGGAAAACGATGGGGAACTTTTTTGAGAAAGTTTCATGCTTATTGGACCATTTCTGGGACCAGAAGAGGGGCAGAGTGGCATTCACTCTCAGTGTGGGAGTTAAAGGACCCATGATTGAAGGAGAGTGAGGAGACAACGCAACACAACAGGGTATCTGAAGATCTAAACTAAGCTTTAGCATACCTGTGTGTCTCCTATCCAGTCTAAGACGCTGTGACGGTCCCCTACTGCACCCATTGTCTATCATATATGTTGCACAGACAAGTTTTTTGTAAAGCCACAGCAGGGTGGGAGGGGGACCAACTCTACTTTCGTAAACTCAGTAGTACTGTGTTTTTGCAGTAAAGTCTGTTCAGCCAGCAGCAAGGCGCAATATTTTTAGTTAACAGTTGATCAGTCAAAAATAATAGTCCACCAGGAGTTCTTCCGATCCTTCCGATTATCAAATATACTATGTTGGCAAGTATGGAGCCAATTCCAGGTCAATAGTTTTGATTATTTGAAGAAAAAAAAATGTAACCTGAAAGTTCAAGTTGTGGTCTTGAACATTGAAAAATACAGCAATGTATTCAAAATAACAATAAGTGAATGAAAAGTTTGGGTTGAATATAATTTTGATTCAGTTCTGGAATTGTTTTGAATAAAATATTTATTTTCCCCCATTTATTTCAAATGATCAAAACTATTGGCCAGGATTTGGCTCCATAGGGAAGAAGCGAGCTGTTTTGACTTTTAAAAATAAACCACGCACAACATAAACGAAGCACAAAATACACATAAATGGAGCAAGTATTCCTCTGCTCCCATGTCATGCAAATGATTTTTGAATTGTGCCAGGTCTGCATAGTCATCTATTGTAGGACTTTTGAGTTAGATAATTTATGCAGTCTGGTTTCTACATGTCTGACACACATATGATAATAATCTATGTGCCCGGTCAAAAGATCAACAACATCCAAGGCACTCCTGCGTGTTTTTAATATACTTGATTTGACTTGATATGATAAACTTGCATTTGGAGTGACTGAGAGCATTTGAGTCTGGAATAAAGGGAACTTACTGGAAGGTTGAGCCCATCCTCTTGCCATTTTCTGGAACCCCAGGATCTGGACATACATCACCAGCAAGACCGCTTTGACTCGCTGAAAAAAAGGAAACATACATGGTAGGTAGGGGTGTAACAGTACACGCATTTGGATTGAACCATATTGAAATAATACTATTGCATTTATGCAAAAGCTTAAATTAAATTAAATTAATTGAAATGTTGTGAACTGTTACACCCCTGATGGTAGGTATAGTGTCGTTTTGAGATTATGTATGTGCATTTTATTGACTTGAAGGTGAATTATAAAACTTGTTCTCATAACGAGTTTTACAGTAAGATGAAAGTGAGCTGGGACACAAATCCTTATTGTTATTGTGACCACCACAAGCATCTGAGTATTTTTTAATATGTGATGACAGTCAAGTGTTAAAGCGCAGCTAGGATAACTCCAAACCGTGAGAAATATCCCCTACTGTTGTTGAGAGTTCATAAAATGAGGCATGCAGTCAGCCTTTGAATATTAATATAGATCTATTCTCAGTTGACAGGAACATGTTTGAGAAAAACTCAGGCCTCAATGTGAAAACAAGGCCTCTCCCTCTTCTGTTTATTTTTCCACCTGGTAGATGTAATCATAATAGAAGAGATATAACGATTCAAGTTTTTCACCAAAGAGCAGCAATACCCATATTATGACCGGTAATTTATCAGTCTATAGAGATCATCCAACACAAAATAGACACGTCTCAAATGTCTCCGGCCCGCTACAGATTTTCTACAAGTTGTAATTGAACTAGATAAAATACATATGAAGAAAATCATCAGAAAGATGCTATAATCACATACAAATTCCATACATCCAGATTTTACACAGTACTTTGAAAAAAAGTAAAAGATGTAAAGGAATACAATTTAGAAAATGTGTTGAATAACAGCCATTGAGCAAAAAGCTCACTGATGCATGAGATGTCACAGCAACATGATTAGAAAGCGAGCTAATGAACTTTATAGCAGAAGGGCTAATGTTAATGCATTGATAATTAAATTAAGATAAAATATCTGCCTAAATGATGAAAGTTGTCAATTCCTAAACTAAAAAGAATAAAACAAAAAAATGTTTCCATTCACCATATCGATGAAGATCTTTTTGCATGTAACGTTACTTCATAAAGTATCATGAAAGGCTGTTCAGGTGATGTTAAATATTGAGCAAACCTAGCATGTCATGAGCAATCAAAGCAAAGGACCAGGGTTTGAGTTAGCTAACTTTACAGTACTAACATTACCTGTTAGATAAGATAAGTAGTGAATAGATAAAACTCCTTTTCTCTCCACTAAATAAATCAACTTACATTTGTTTAGTGTTTCTTTAGCTTATGTTTCAGTCATTCTTCATAATGTTTTGTTTTTTCGCCACAAAGTAACTAAGTACTTTATGCATGTATTATACTTGCGCTGTCATTTTCAAGATTCTGTATTTGTCTTTCTATTATATTTAGCATTTCCATTTGCATCGAAATGCTTACATACTTAAACAGATAAATGCTATTTTTCTACTTCATTTTAATTATGTTGTTCTCCAGCTTGACCAGCCACAACAATGAAATACTGCTTACAGGTTAATACATCAGTAATAATACTCCAATGATATAATAATATCGATGATAATAATATAAAAATGTAATGACAGGAGCCATTCTGCCTCCATAATGATAACTTTTTAATGATGATACTCAAATGCATTGCCCATAATACTATACTTTTAATTAAAATATTGAATGGAGTACTTGCACTTTGAACTGGGTAATTTTACATTGTCACATTTCCATTTCTACTTTAAAGAACAGTGTGTAGCATTTAGTGGGATTCATTGGCAGACATGAAATATAATATTAAGTAATCATGTTTTATTTTGTGTATAATCAGTTGATAATAATTATTGTGTTTTTGTTACCTTAGAATGAGACATTTACATCTAAATATGTAGCGGGTCCTCATCATGGGCCGTGTTTCTACGGTGACCTAGAATGGACAAACCAAACACTGGCTCTAGAGAGGGTCACTCGCATTTTCACTTTGTAGCTCTCCTACACGCTTGGCACACCATAGAACTTTCGGTTCGTTGCAATATGCAACCTCACCGCAAGATGCCGCCAAACCCTACACACTTTAACGAAAGGTTCTGAATACATCTTCCACCCCTTAAAAAGTGCATTAATCTTGTATTTATAAGGTTTACCAGCATGTGTGGAAACTTGCTCTAGAATGAATTGTTTCAGGAATTGTGTCTCCCTTACAATTTGTCTGCTTCCATAATAAACTTTATCTTAGTTTTTAGAATATGTAAAATGTTGTGAACTACTCCTAGTTAAATCCAAACATGTAGTGTGCAATTACACAAAGATTTAATCAGACCTCCTGGGGGAGAAATTGTCACAAAAAAAACCAGAAAATAATAAGAAAAAGAATATGGCAAAATAAATGTTGTGGTCGAAATTAAAAACATGTGCAGTAATTAGTTTTTCTCATCCATCTGCATGATCAGTTGTGTTCCTAAAACCAGCACAAATGCAAAACATGCCAATTTTTGTCCAGCTCATATTTGGGATCTTTCATCGCTTTTAGACTTCGCTGTGGCTGGGAGCATCTGCTGCATGCCTAGAAACATAATGTAAATGTAAATGAGACCAGACAACATGACAGAAACCAGTTTGAACCAGCTCTGTCTTAATGGAACTCTGTGGATGAATAATGGTGGTTAGCAAAAAAATAAAATATAAAGTGAAAGGAAGGAGAAAATGAATAAAATGGAAATGAGGAGAATGCTAAAAAGGGACTACAATAGCAAAAAGGGAAAGAACAGAGAATATCCTGGAGAGAGAGCTATATCTGAACTCATAGCATCTCTTTTTCTTTCTGTCCATCTCTACTAGTATCTTTCTCACTAGCCTCTCTCTTCCTGTCCTCCACATCTGCCTCTGTTCCCACTCAGTCCTTCTCTCTACTTTTGTAATCTCAGCTTGCTCACCCCGCATTTTACTCTCTAGTACACATTAGCTGCAATTTACAAAGGGGTGCGGAGTGTGGTGCATCCCAGCATAAAAGATGGATGAATGATTTGGTGTGTTTGTGTGATTTTTGCTGAGGGGTTGTGAGCGTATGGATGCTGTTTATGCATGTTTGCGTGAGATATGATGCAAACAGAACAAGCTGTCTTGTTGCTCTGCTGTGTTTTTTGATGTTCTGTCCAAAAATCAGCACACAAACACCCTATAAAAAGACACTCTCTCTGTTACACTCTCTCGTCCCTTTTCTCTCACTAATGTTCAAATGGCTTTCATTGGCATCAAATACAAAGGTTCATATTGCCGAAACAAATCCGGCTCATGCAAACAACATGAGATTGTTGTAGACAGAGACATAGCTGCCAAATATCTGGCAATATTGATGGGCTTGTCAAAAATCCTCAAGCTGACTTAATCCCATATTTGCACTTAAAAGACCATTCAACGCCTAAACACAAGCTTATGATGCATAATATAATTTCCATATCATCAAAGTGTCTTCAGCAAACCATTCATATCTAAAAGTCAACTTTTTAGGAAGTTGGAAAAAGTGATTCATTTTCTCATTGATGCCAATATATGTTTGACATTTCTGATGTCTAGTAGACTCTTGGTGTCAGCCGCCCCCTCCTACAGACTGGGTTTAAACTCATTGAATGACTCGGTTCCTCCTGTCCTCAACCATTCACTATGCACTCACGCCTTAGAAAAAGTAACTGTCAGAAAAATATGAATTCCTTGGTACCAAACATAAAGACTATGTGGCTGCTGCAGTAGTGAGATGTATTTATATCTGTTCTTTACTTTAATATTTCATTTTGTTCAATTTTATACTACTTTTTTTTGACTCCACAACATTTATTTGACAAATAGTTACTTTGCAGATGAAGTTATTATGTACAATACCTATGTATAGTGCTGATCTAAGTATCATTTTGTAAAGTCTTGGGTCTCATTTTAGATTGCATGAAAAAATACATGTAGTTGCTCAGAGGGTGTGGTGTTAAATTACTATTTCTGTGTTTTCTCTTTTTTTTTACCATTTTCTGTTCGTTCACTTGTTGATTTATTCATCGTTTTTCTGTTATTCGCTTATTACGTATGAATTTGATAAAATAAGCCCACTGACAAAACCGGTATTGCAGTCTTATATGATGTTAGCTTTGTTTGTTTATTGTAACAAACTGTTGTTGACGTTCCCATGGGAAAGAGTTACAAACCACTGGCTCAGGGAATTGGAGAACAATGAAGAACCACTGGTTTAGAGGGCAAACTAAAGACGGATAAACACAAAAGATATTTGCATTGAGAATGCAAACCGTGTAGCACAAAAGATTAGTTATTATACCGACAGACAGATGAACCATTAAAAAAGAAACTGTGGTCAAACAGTCAATGACACAGGGTGCAAAGAGAAAGAGGGAGGCAGGAAGAGCGTGGGAGAGTATTTTGAGTGTGTGTGTGTGTGATCAGCTGACATCTGTTTCAGGTAAGAGTCTTTGAGGTGCTCTTCAGATGCCAGCTGGATGAAGAGAGAAATGTGTGAAGTGCAGTTTGTTGATACGCTCTCCTCTGCTCTCCTTGTTGCCTCTTATCCACTCAGCCCTCTCTCTCTTCTCCACGTTCTTGTGTTCACAAGTCAATCAAGCCGAGAGCTGAAGACTGCAGCCATCTTCCCACCATCATTTAGTTGAGCCCACAAGATTTATCCACATCAATACACTCGTTGTGATCCTGAGTCAAAGCCACGTGTAATGGAACACAGCATAAAATAATATTCGTACAGTCTGCATTACTGTGATGTTTTCCCAAATGTATGTATCTGTGGTACCATTGTGTGATTTCCTTGTTTCAAGTGGTCGCTTCGTTTTGATTTGAGTAATCTGCGGCCCAGAACTACCTTGCATGACAATTCTGAAGAAAACACTGATTATAAATCACACTCTCACAATAATGATTCATTACAGTTCTAGGTCATTGTCTAGGGAGTAAAACGCCTTAATCACAATCTTTCTGTCTCTCTATAATTATGACACATCCTCAGCAGTAAGCTAATGTTGCCGCTGTGAGAGGACAACTGCACGATGGGCTGCTTTAATTTGAACCATTTCACATTTTCTACATATTTTACATTGGTGTATCCCTTGGATACCTAACCACCTGTTTTTCTGTCTGTCTGTATATCTATCTGTTTCTCTCTCTCTCTCTCTATCTCTCTCTCTCTGTATGCCTATCTATTTTCTTTTTCTGTATCTGTGTTTTTTTTCTGTCTCTAATTATCTCTCTATCTTCAGTGTCACATACGTAAGATTCTAATCAATAGTCAGTGTGAGAATTATTCATAAACACACCGTTCTCAAACTGATTGAAACATATTCTCATGTGTGTCTGTCCATTTAGACTGTGCTTTACTGTAGGCTAGAGGCTGCAACAGACAGTCTTTTAGATTATGATTCATAAGCGCTCCATTCTCTAGACGGGTAAAACTCATTACCATCAGTCTCTGGTTCTTTGTAATGATTATATATTGCATAATTCTCTGCAATACAGCTATATTACTACTGGGGGTCATACAGTGTAAAGAAGTGTTGTTCAAAGACTGGATCGGGACCAAGATTGGACCTTGGCTATATTTTTTAATGTTTTAATGATCAGGTTCCCAGCCTGATGGACTAACTGAGCTACATGATTGCGGTAACCTTACTGAGCCTTCGACCCAATATGAAAACCCACATTTACTCAGTTTTGATCCCCACAATAAAAAGGCTATGCTTTAATAAGCATGGGTCCCATGGTGAGGAACTACATTTCTCATTTGGTGCAGGGCTTCAAAAGCTTTAGGGAGCCCTGGACAACACAGCTAATAGCCATTATCATCATTATTTGGCCCGACATTGCGATAACAGATAACAAAGCTCGTTTTCTACAGGGCAGTGATAATTTTACAAGTGGGACAGCTACTTCTGAGATTCTTTCAGCACATATGGAACATTGCTGATTGCTGTGATTTTACTTAACACCGTGATAAAATCCACACAGGGTAATGTGCAACAAGATCTGAACAACAAGTCATACGATTACGTAGCTGAGTTTTTGCAGACGAGCATCATTGCTTACGGAGTTAGAGTTTAGCTTTTCAAATGAATATGTATTTAAGAAACATGCGGAACATCACATTTCCAAGGCTATACCATAGTTATTTTGAATACATTTACATGTCAGCCTGAGAGAAACCTCCACAGACCCCCATGATAAGAGAGTTACTTCACAACAAGATGTTTTTGTAAGCTGGCCCTTCTCGTAACAAGCAAATGCAATAGCTTTGGACTCAGCAGACTGACTTCAGGCAATTCTTTCACAGGAAAACACATTTGTGTATGAACGTGCTTACGTATTTGTGTGTATCTATGTGTGCACGCTTAGTTTGTTTAAGCGTGAGTAAAAATAAAGTGTGTGTGATGTCTGCACTCTTCACTGAGCCCTACATCATTGATAAAAATAATAAACTGATTTACCACAGGAACTCCTCACATACGCATGCACAAACTCAAATACACATGGAGCATACCAGTTTAATCTTAATTGCCACAACACATGGAGAAGCACACAAGCACACGCAATTTCTTCTTCACACTCACACACATAGTAATGTTAATTGCACCAGCACATGCTTGGCTGAGCGTGTAAATCAGAAGAATTATTGATGAGGGGTTTATTATGAAGCTAAACCCTAAGGAATGGATGAGGTATGAGCTCGGGCTTCCGTGACAATTAAAAGCCTCAGTCACATGATCCGGATACTGTTTTAAGGGCATCTGCAAGCTGCAGAGAGATATGTCTTTCATTTGTAGAAATATTCATCACATGTATTGTTCAATTGTCCCATGGTCAACATATTGTTTAAGTTTATTTGGATTCCCATTAGCTGCAACTTAGGTGAAATGTGACTTATTAAATAACAAGTGATGGATTTGATTCGCTGTATAGTATCAGTAGCTGGCGAAGATGGTTCATGAGGTGGGAAGATATCACAAAGCTGAAACTGAGTAAATAAATGGCCAGAATTCCAAAATAAAATCCAAAATTGACACCTACTGCGCACATTAGTTGCCAGCATTAAAACAAACAAATGGAAAATCATCTTGAGACCTTGTCTGACAAAGCTTTGATTTAGTTTTTTTTGCCTTTGTCTTTGGTAGATTCTAACATAACAACAAAACTTCAGACAATTTTGTTCATATCAAAATATTAGTTTAATATGTGTGAAATCTGCCCATGGCATTTTTTATCTTTGCTTCAGGAGCTCTGAGGACAATGTCAATCCTGTTCATCACTTCAGAAAGAAATATATTAATTAACTACCACCACAGTATATCGGTCTACCCATTTCAGCATTTTCCATTTTGTATTTAGATTGATGCTGTAATGTGAAACCAAAGTTCACAAGCACCAGTTCTGCTCTGACACTTATATCAGCTATAGGCTGCTAGCAACACGTGCTGAGGTCAGCGCGATAAGCAGATTGGGGTGCGAGACAGTCGCACTGTGGCAAGTACAAATGAAACAGCAGAGCTGGAAAATGCATCTGCAGGTTTCTGGTCAGCTTCAACAGCAACGGTGTGTTGGCGTTGCTCCATTGTTGTGGAAACTAATAGTAACACTCCTCCTAATGCACACGTTGAACTTATTTGTTGTTTGTATTTAATCTGTTTTGTATTTTCAGCTTCATGGTTTTAAGAGATGCTTTTCAGTTTTATAGCTTATTGTGAACTTTCGCCTTGTTGGAAAGCATCTAAGAAGCCTACAACCATACAGTATTATTCAATCCATCCACCCGTCAACTATTGCCTAACATATAATATAACTCTGTACACTGCATTTCACTACTGCCTAACAAAATGTCTCAGATGTGGGATGTCAACAATGTACCCATCAATGACTTTACCTAATGTAGACTACACTGTCAATTTACGAATCCTTGGCTACACCTCCAGAGGGGCAGATAAGATGTAGTGGGCACATTTCCCGCTTTGGCCATGAAGAATCCCAACACCAAAGCCCCAGACTCCACTTAAAGATTCAGAAAGTTAGAATATAAAAATGATGCTGCATTGAGCTTATTATAGACTGTAGCAGATTGTCATCATGACACCAGCACAGGGAGGTTCACTGTGTGTGACGAAGGAAAGCTTGAAAAGGTCTTCAAACCGTCTTAACAACAAAATAGAGGCTCATGAGTACGACTTGGTTTCAAACATGATGGTTGTATAAGGGGGCTGACACAACGAAAAGAATAACAAATAGTACATTCTGAATCAGTTCGCTCTTTTAGCATGTTTTACAGTAATTACTAAGAAGTAATCATCATTGTATAGTGTGTAAAATAACTAAATTGATAGAATACCCTGTCTGTATATATAATATTTTAGTATTTTAGTTCTTTAGTTATACTTAGTTACTGTGGATTTTGTACGTTTTGTACTTTTTTACTTAGTTGATATTCTTACTGTTTATTTACTTATTTATATTACTTGTTGCTCTTGTTTTTTTTACTCTGTATCTTGAGTGCACTGTCCACTTTGCTGCTGTGATCCTGTGAATTTCCCCACTGTGGGACTAATAAAGGATAAAGGATTAAGGAAGTCAAAACTTCCCTGTTGTTACTGTAGTGTAAAAATACAATCTATTTGCAAATACTGGGTGTGTTTTTAGTATATTTACTTCTATAAATAGATTTTGTTTCTGTAAACACACATCAATGTCTATTTATAGAACTAATTTCATATGGACCTCTGACCCTTTGAAGGAAATATGAAAAGAAACAAAGAGTGCAGCACTAATTCTTGTCTCTTAGATGGAAACCCCAATGAAAAATACATGAAATTACTACTCTTGCCACATCAAAGATGTATGCATGCTGTGTGTACATACAGAAAATGTGTGTGTGTGTGTGTGTGTGTTTGTGTGTGTGTGTGTGTGCAAGTTTCAACTTTGGTTAAAAAAGGTCTTTTTAAATTACAGTTACATTACCTGAAACACACAAACAGCAGACAGTATTTTACTTACAGACAGCATTTTTGTGACTGGAGTCTTTACTGGGCATCATCTTCACCCCTCTGGACTTCAACTCTATTGCTTTTTTCACTGCAAAAAGAAGAGGAGATGGAGGTTAATAATTTAATTATAGATAATGATGTATTAAATTTAAATTACTGTACAAATTGAAATGCGTATTATTTTCAGCATTTGCCATTCAGTACACATCAGCTATGCAATTTCTCTGCGATTCAGTAAGTGCTTCACGCTCGCCCTCCAACAACAAACCTACAACAAATGCAACGGCGTTAGAAACTGAAAATTAGAACAGGGGAAAGGGAGAAGACATTAAAAGACAGAGAAGAAGGGACAATAGAGGAGAAAAAAGGGGAGAGAAGAGCAAAGCAGTGGAGCAGCTTTAAAATGGATTCCATCTATTTTATCTTAGCACCAGAGCAGAGGATAACAAAAGTCAGTGCTACAACCAAACTACATTCTACTGAGAAAAGCAAATCTCTCTCTCTCTCTCTCTCTCTCTCTCTCTCTCTCTCTCTCTCTCT